GAAATTGTTGGAAATTGTATAGAATATTGTGGAATATTCTAGAGAATGAGTAGATAAAAAGATGAGTCTTTTCATATGGAAGATCATGACTTTTGGAGATTATGACTTTTGGTGGGAGCAACTTCCAATAATTATGATTCTTAATTTCAAGAGATATGTCTCTTGGTGTGGTTTCCAACTACTATATATATAGATCCCCATGTGTTTGGATTTTAGGAAAAACAACAAGAAAGAAGAACAATTCAATTAATAGTTCCATATCATTCCATTCCATGTTTTACTTTAGTCCTGCATAAATCACTTTGTAGAATTGATTATTTTTTACATCAAAATCATGATTATGGTAGAGAGGGAACTCCGTTCGAGTTCGTTGGTTTAAGCCATTTGGAGTGCTCCTATGACTTGACGAGATCGTTGTATCTTGGGAGATGATTGTCGATAAACCGTTAGCACCGATGCGGAGCAAATTTATCTTAAGGACAAAGTGTCAAACACTTGCCTCGACCGATTGTATCACTTGCATCTCATCTTTCTTTTCCGATTTTATTCTAATTTAGTATTTTGATTTCGGAAAGTAACTAATATTCTTTTGATTTCATGCAAGGTTTAAATTAAAGAATGACACGCGTTCAAAATTGGAAAGTGATGAATCCATATTCATATATTGGAAGTCGATAATCACTATTTTGTCTTCTCAAATCAGATTTCAGTAGATCGAATGATATTTCGATTTCACGGTATGTTCTTGGTTAATATAATATGCACATTATCGGTGTAATATCTCCAACATGTTTAAGGCATATATCACCACCAATGGCCAAAGGTTATAATACCATAATATCAAAGTTCGAAATCACCTTTAAGAATGTGTGGAAGTGTAGAGAAAACTTAAATAATTTTGAGAAAAGTTGGGGAAAAAAATCTGCAAAATAGGTAAAAGAGTATATATAGAAAAAAAAAAATAAAGAATTATCTTTTCAGAATCTTGAATATGGTATTGTTTCACATGTATGAAACCTGTATAAATAAAATTGAATCTCAGCATCATGTTCATTTAGGAGGACATATTAAACAATGCTTGGACTTTTTAATGGTACAAATTTGCTTGAATCTTAAATTTGGTATTGTTTCATATGTATGAAATGTGTTCATTTAGGGGTACATGTTGAACAATACTTGGGCATTTCAAGGGTACAAGTTTGGCTGAATCTTGAATTTGGCCCCTATTTGATCCACATTAAAAATTTCATTCTCATTTTTCTACTTATTTTCAACCACACATTTTTCAATAAAATAATATTTTTCATTACATCAATAATTTTTCCTTCTTTTTTAACCACACATTTTCCATCAATCTACTATTCCAAAACACATTCTTCCAAAATAATATGACTCAAATTTGTATAAAATAAAGTTAATTCTCATTATCGTATTTATTAAATTTGTTCATTTAGGGGTACATGTTGAACAATACTTAGACGTTCGAAATAGATTTGACAGAGAAAAACACTAAATTTTATAGTCTTTCACTTAACTTTACGTATCTCACAATTTTGTCATCGCCCGTCTTCGAATTTATTTTTCTAATAAGAAAATTGAGCTGGTAAGCATAACTTTTATAAAATTCAAAGACTTCATTCTCCACCTCCAACTTCATCCCAACCATAAGCATGATAATTTCATTTTCTTCTCCTAAAATTTTATCAATTGGACTTTAAAGAGATTTTTGGGCACTATAAAATCTGTAAAGGGAAAAAAAATCATATTTAAGGTGTATTCTTTACCTCAATTCAAAAATAAGGTAAATAGTTTAAAAATTCAAAAATCAGGTATTTATTTAATTAATTAAAAATATTTATTAAATAAAGATAAAAAAGTCACATTTTGTGATTAATGGTCACATATTCATAATTTTAAGTTACAGATTTATTTACTGGTCACATATCGTCAAATTTTTTGATC